TTATGACGGCAACAATGACAATGGTATTTACTCGGTAGAACTGGATGAGCTTGTCGCTAGCGATAGTGATGATGAGAGTTTCTAAGAATTTTCCAGTAATATTTAGGTGTCAGGCATTTTTACTTGTTTTTTCATTAAAAGGTTTTGTTACAAATGCTTTATGCAATTTAAAGTATAACCTTCAAAAGTTAGGGGTTCGTATCGTAATCGAAGTTTTCTTTACCAGAAACTTTGTAGCTAAATCAAACATGGAAATTATACACTGATGTGCATTATATTCGAGATTTTACGGTGTTCCCAATTCATTTAATTAATCATCATATTTTTTTTTGATATCACCATTGTTTGATTGTATATGACTCAGTTATTTTATGTATTTGTGTCATCTGCATGAACAGGAAATATTCTGAAAATATTCTGTGACTTGATGTGCTTGAAATATTTCTGAGCATAGGAGTCTGTCGACTTCACATTTGCACTAGGTTTTGATGATTATCGAGGATGAAAGCTTGATTTTCACTTCTGCCATCATCAACTCATGACCACTACTGCGCTCAGAGCATCTCTAAACTCTGACACCTTCCAAACATGTTCGATGATTCCTGATATTGAGAAACTCGTATTAACTATAAACTTGATTTTTATATCGTAATAATGAACATATCTTTAGGAGAAGGAGCTTGATCATCTTCTGTACGCTCAAGTAATGAACATCTGCTTTTGTCATCAGCAGAAACTCAAGCCATTTTCTAGGACTATGTATCGCTCAATTCTAATGGGGAGAAGATTTCCACCAACAGTCTAAAACAAAAGATAATCAGACTAGAGCAGATGATCCGTGACAAAGAAATCGAGAACAAGTAAAGTTCTTGTTTTGCATAAACATAATTATATGCAGTGTCCCGCCTTTTAGCAAATTAAGAACTGATGTTCACTCGACTCGACTGGAAGAAGCACTGATGGAAATATCTGCTCTTTACGAGGAAGTAGGCAAAAAATTACTTTACGTTTGTTAAGGCCTCGTCGTCACGACTTCGATCCGCTTCAGCCCGTTAAGTGGCCAGAAGGGGAAGGGGGACCGAAATATTAGACTTTCATGT